ATTTTTGGGATTTTTCCGGGACATTTTTGGGATTTTTCCGGGACATTTTTGGGATTTTTGGGATTTTTTCGGGAGATTTTCGGGATTTTTTCCGGAGATTTTTGGGATTTTTCCGGGACATTTTCGGGAGATTTTCGGGATTTTTCCGGGACATTTTCGGGAGATTTTCAGGATTTTTTTGGGATATTTTTTGGGACATTTTCAGGAGATTTTGGGGCATTTTCAAGATTTTTGGGGGATTTTTTGGATATTTTTGGGGACATTTACAGGAGATTTTTAGGAGATTTTTAGGAGATTTCGGGACATTTTCCAGGATATTTTCCAGATGTTTTTCCAGCTGTTTTCAGGATATTTTTAAGACTTTTACAGGAGATTTTTGGGATATTTTGGGGAGATTTTGGGGATAATTTTGGGGTATTTTGGGGAGATTTTGGGGAGATTTCCAGGATATTTTTGGGATATTTTCAGGATATTTTGGGAACATTTCCAGGATAATTTTTGGGGTATTTTCTGGATTTTTTAGGGATATTTTCAGGATAATTTCGGGATATTTTCAGGATATTTCCAGGATATTTTTGGGATAATTTCAGGATAATTTCAGGATAATTTCAGGATAATTTCAGGATAATTTCAGGATATTTCCAGGATAATTTCTGGATATTTTGGGGATATTTTTTGGATGTTTTCAGGATATTTTTGGGAACATTTCCAGGATATTTTTAGGATATTTTCAGGATTTTTTTGGGGATATTTCCAGGATATTTTCAGGATGATTTTGGGATATTTTCGGGATATTTCCAGGATATTTCCAGGATAATTTCAGGATAATTTCAGGATATTTTTGGGACCTTTTCAGGATATTTTGGGAACATTTCCAGGATAATTTTTGGGGTATTTTCTGGATTTTTTAGGGATATTTTCAGGATAATTTCGGGATATTTTCAGGATATTTCCAGGATATTTTTGGGATAATTTCAGGATAATTTCAGGATAATTTCAGGATAATTTCAGGATAATTTCAGGATATTTCCAGGATAATTTCTGGATATTTTGGGGATATTTTTTGGATGTTTTCAGGATATTTTTGGGAACATTTCCAGGATATTTTTAGGATATTTTCAGGATTTTTTTGGGGATATTTCCAGGATATTTTCAGGATGATTTTGGGATATTTTCGGGATATTTCCAGGATATTTCCAGGATAATTTCAGGATAATTTCAGGATATTTTTGGGACCTTTTCAGGATATTTTGGGAACATTTCCAGGATATTTTTTGGATATTTCCAGGATATTTCCAGGATATTTCCAGGATATTTTCAGGATAATTTCAGGATAATTTCTGGATATTTTCAGGATATTTTCAGGATATTTTCGGGATATTTTTGGGATATTTTTGGGATATTTCCAGGATATTTTCAGGATATTTTCAGGATGATTTCGGGATATTTTCGGGATATTTTTGGGATATTTTTGGGATATTTCCAGGATAATTTCAGGATATTTCCAGGATATTTCCAGGATATTTCCAGGATAATTTCAGGATAATTTCTGGATATTTTCAGGATATTTTGGGGATATTTTTGGGATATTTCCGGGATATTTCCAGGATATTTTCAGGATATTTTGGGAACATTTCCAGGACATTTTTTTGATATTTTCAGGATAATTTCAGGATAATTTCAGGATATTTTCAGGATATTTCCAGGATATTTTTGGGATGATTTCGGGATATTTTCAGGATATTTTCAGGATATTTTTGGGGTGGATTTGGGGGTTTTTGGGACTCACTCTTGTCGAAGATGGGCTGGGACAGCACCGGGCTGAGGCTCCGGGGGATCCCGGCCCGGTCCCGGAACGAGGCCTGGAAGCAAATCCGGACCACGTTGAGATCGACTTCCTGATGGTTCCGCAGGGATCCCGCTGGAAAAGACGGAAAAGTGGGGAAAAACAGCGGGAAAATGGGAAAAACGGGGGGAAAATGGGAAAAAACGGCGGGAAAATGGGAAAAACGGGGGGGAAAATCGGGGGAAATGGGGAAAAAATGGGAAAATTTGGGGGAAAAATGGGAAAAAATGGGGGGGAAATGGGAAAAAGTGGGAGGAAAATGGAAAATATGGAGGGAAACGGGGAAAAAACGGGGAAAAAATGGGAAAAAAGGGTGGGAAATGGGGAAAATGGGGAAAAACGGGAGAGAAATGGGGGAAAATTGGAAAAAATGGGGGGAAGATGGGAAAAATTGGGGAAAAATGGGAAAAATGGGGGCAGGAATGGGGGGGAACGAGAAAAAAAGTGTAGGGAAAAGGATGGAAAATGGGGAGAAATTGGGGAAAATTGGGAACAAAGCAGGGAAAGGCGGTTCCAGAGGAATCCAAATGGAAATGGGGGAAAAAAACGGGAAAAAATGGGGGAAATGGGCAAAAACCACACAAAAAAAGGGGAAAAAACAAAAAAAAAAAAGCAGGGAAAAACGCAGGAAAATCGGGAAAAAGATGGAAATTGCTGGAAATTCCCGGAAATTCCAGGAAATCCATGGAAAAGGGGAGGTGCTGACCTTTGAAGGGGTCGATCCCGAGCTGCAGCTTCTTCTCGATGGCGGCCTCGATTTCCTTCTTCTTCACACACTGAATCCCCAGGTTGCTGAAACTGCCGGGAATCCCCAAAATTCCCAATTTTCCCGGCCCCTTCCCGGATTTTCCCGCCCAGAAACGCCCAAAAATCCCCGAAAAAAACCAAAAAAAAAAAAATCACCCCAAAAACCCAAAAAATCCCCCCAAAAACGCCTCGGAAAGCGGGAGAGGTCACGGAGAATTCCTGGTCTTTTTTGGGAATTCCGGGGTTTTTTGGGGGGAATTCCAGGTTTTTTTTTGGGGGGGGGGGAATTTTGGGGTTCTTTTAGAGGAATTCCATTTTTTCCTGGGAACTCCGGTTTTTTTCTGGAAATTTTGGGGTTTTTTTTCTGGGAATTCCCGGGGTTTTTTTGGGAATTCTGGATTTTTTTTGGGGGGGGGGAGGAATTCCATTTTTTTTTCTGGGAATTTCAGGTTTTTTTCTGGGAATTCCGGGGTTTTTTTTGGAGGGGGGGGGGATTTCTGGGATTTTTTGGGGGGGAATTCTGGGGGGTTTTTTGGGGAGGGAATTCCATCGTTTTTTCTAGGAATTTCGGGATTTTTCTCTGGGAATTCCATTTTTTTTCTGGGAATTCCAATTTTTTTTCCGGGAATTCCATTTTTTTTCCTGAGAGTTCCATTTTTTTTCTGGGAATTCCAATTTTTTTTCCTGGGAATTCCAAATTTTTTTTCCTGGGAATTCCAATTTTTTTTTCCTGGGA